CAGAGGCTGGCACTGGCAGAGGGCAGTGGCCTGGAAGGTGGTATTACTAGCAGTGCTACTAAAACATCAAAACATTGGAGTGGAGTTGAGGAGGGGGCTTAATGAAAAACAGTATATAAAAACAACTTTTGTGCGTTGTGCCCGAAAACCTCTTTCTATGCCTGGTTAATACTATTTCTCTAATTTGAAAGCAAGGTTATAGTGACGAGTCTTTGAAAATTAAGACCTCCTTTCTCTAGGTGGTGTGGAGGAGGTGGGGCTTTGTTTTCAGTGGCTAAAAATATTATTTCAAAACTGCCCTATTTGCTATTGTCATAGTATAAAAGAAAACACACACACACAAAAAAAATCTAATATAGTGCATTTCATTCCAAATATCCACATTCCTGTAAATGTTTTATAACATTTTCTAAAAGGTTATGCTACTTACACTGTCATTATTTGCCCAAGAAGTCAGAAAAAATGTGGCTGCTCTGAAATCAGGAATGTTCTCTGATGTGTAGGAATATCCTACAGCAAAGGCTACCTTCTTTGCATGTATTCATGACTTATGGTGTTTCCCTGACATTAGGAAATATAGAGAAAAGTCTTTTGGAAATTCCTTAATAAAGTTGTAATACTGGCATGTGTCTTTTTGTAGTTGCTATTACTGTTGGGTCCTCATGTACTACCCTTGTAAAAGCTTCTCAGCCAACACCAAGGTGCTAAACCCCAGGATAAATTTGGATTTTTACTTCAGGTTACTGACTCTGGGAACAAAAACTATCAATCATTTTCTTTAGGTTGGTTTTATGATTGGTCTGAGTTTTTTTTGGGGCCTCTTCCCATGGGAATAAAAAAGGAGATTCTTAAAAAGCTTCAAATGACTACAAATTTTGTCTATGACAACACACATCAGAAAGGCTTTCCCACTGTATGTACCTAATGCTAGAACTTATGAGTGTTGCTAGGAACCTCTCAGACACCCTACTCTACAAGCTAGGACAAACATTCACAGAACTAGACATGTGGAAGTTTGTTAGCTGATGTCAGCTGCACCGTTAGTTCACTTGCTCAACTACTGACCTCTTGCTCCCAGCAGCCTTCTCGCAGGTGACCTGACACATCTTTAGCCCACCCTTAACCCAGGAGATTTTTGTAAAGTTTACTGACTTCTTCCTTCCTTTTCATCTTTTGTTTCTGAGAAGTCTTCCAACACATCATTGTTCTGGATTAGTTATTCTACTCATCAAAGGCAGAGAAGCACAGGGAGTGTGTGTGAGAGAGCAGGGTGCCTACTGTCAGTTTGTCCTAGAGGACTCCAAACACATCTATGGCAGGGACAGAGGAGCCTTGTATAGATTTCTGTCTTCAGTGCATAGTCTGTTCAAGACATAGTTGTAATGTAATCATACAGGAACATTGGAGAGTTACTGTGTGGCACAAGTGGTTGGTTAAGTGCCTGACTACATGCTGAAAGATTGGTGCTCTGGAAGTCAGTCCCAATCATCTGTTTCCCCAGGGTCATGGCCCCAAGAACCCTACAGACTCTCCTCTGCACACACGGTCTCTGTAAGTCAGAAATAAGCTCTATGTAGCAAACAACAGCTGTTCACAGACCAGAGCCCAGTCATCACACATGCAAAGCAGAGAACTTGCACAGAAGTAAATGCAGAATCACCTTGTGCAAAACCAACCTAGTCTGAGACTTGGATATCAAGTACTTTGCTTATAGGCTTCCCCACAAACAAAGTTTAGGGTTCCTATCTGACAAGCTGAGACAGTCATAAAATGCACATATCCTCTAATGATCCACATCCAGAAAAGCTCCGTAACAGTGTCCAGAAAAGGCATCAGCCACTCAAGGACAGCCTATGGACAGGTTAGCAATTTCTTTCAGGTAGAAAACAGGGGCCAGCTTGATGCTAGGATACAAACCAATGACACCAGTGAATGGCATTTAGTGAAAAGCTACACTTCCAACAAAAACATCCTATTAGTGACTTAGAATATGAAGATAAACGTGAAGTTTCTTTTGAACAGACAGGGGGAAAAGAAAAAAAGAGTAAAAATCCTGGTAAACTTACTGGCAAGACTGACCTGTCGATGTCCAATGAGACTTGGATGTCTGGTGGATACTTGTTACTATTTAAAAATACTGAGGATACTAATCTCAACATATGCTGTATTTTTTATTATTTAAAATGAAGTTAGTTAATTACAGGTTCCAGGAAATATTCTGCATATTAGAATCGGTCCCCAGATATCTATAGGCCCCTAAAAAGGGAAAGAATCAAGGTTTTTGTTTTTGCTGTACAAATGTGCTAGAGGAAGAAGGGGTGCACAAAAAGTAAAACTGCATGCAAAACACTACACATTTACCTTTTATAATTAATTTCAAAATGCCTCACCTCTACATATTTTAATAATTCTTTATTTATAAGATGGTATCTGTTATAAAATTTTCTATTTTCCAGTACATGAAAGGAAGGCAGGTTCACTCCGACAACAGAGTGTCACACAATATCTGCTTGTCAGGCACCAATTTTTTACTTCTTACATGTAAGTTAAAGGATAAGGAATTTATAATGCTGCCTGTGAAGGGAACCACTTTTCATACACAAATGTGATATTTTTTTCTCCTCCAAAGGGTAATACAAGAGTACATTTACATAAACTAATCCAAACAATCTATGTCTTTGACAATGGCAAACCTCACACAGATGGCCTATTGTTGGTTTACATCTTGGAGTTCTTTATGTCAGCTTGTAGTATTGCTCTAGCTGTCAAAGGTTTGACTTGGACTCTAAATAAATGGTTATACAAGTGCTGTGCAGCGATATTGGACTTCTTTACAAAAGAAAACCTGCTGTGTATCAATTCAAAAGCTATTAATTTTTCAGTCATAAATATTCGTGCATATTTCTTTTAATAAAGAAATACTGTTCTGAGCTACTAAGAGATAATGTTGACTAGTGGTAGAGAATTTTCAATAGAGCAGTTAAAAATAAATTTAGTAGGAGGTCTCCTTCAGAGTTATAATTTTCTAGAATGTAAAAACACTTCTTCCCCCTCCCCCCAAATCAAGACAAATCTCCCTCCCTGTTCATTTTCCTCAACAACTGCCTCTCCCTGCTCATTGGTGGTTTAACTCCGGTCCTCATGAAGATTCTCTATGGTGCTTTTGGGCAAACAATGTATGTCATCTCATTAGATGCAGGTTTACACACATGGTGCAACCTACCAAGACCCAGACTCATCACTCACAGAGTGACACAGGGGGCTGTACAATCATGCGTCTAATTTTATATGTTTTCCTCAAAAGAAATGCTATGATCAAAAAGTTCAATCCTAGAAAGGGGAAGTCAAACATTTTATCATTGTTACTATTAATATGTGAGGAAAATAGAAGATAATCTTGTTCTAGTTAGAGACTCAAAGTCATCATCTTGGAGAAATCCTCTGTCGGCAAGTTAAAGGTAACTGAAGACTTTGAGAAGATTCAAAGTAGACTGGTGCCCTTTGACAGTGGCAATGCTGACTAGAGAAGTCAGCCACAGCACTTCAGTGGTCTCACCAAGGCACTTAGTTAGGTTTGTGCTATTGGGATGATGTGAATAGTACAGCTGACTTCTGAATCCAGCACACTAAACAGACTGGCTTGTTGTCACCTGTTCATTTAGTGGCCCAATCATGCAGACAATTAGTATGAAATACACAGAAACGGACTCTCTTCTAGTAAAAATGGATACACAAAGTACTTAATGATTTTATGTCCTATATCTCAGTAATGTGTTCTGTTTCAGACATTAATTTTGTCTGCCAACTGCATCTTGGCAGGCTACCATATTTGCTAGGTTAATAGTCTGACTCCGTTTTATTTCTATCACCATAAATCATACATATATGGGTGTATGTTTGCTTTATTTATAGGAAAAATCAGTCAAAACAGATAAACCAATACTTTGCCATTATGCTGCATCATTGCATATTGATTAAAATTGCTAGTACTAACTATAGATTGTCAACGCTCAATTAATTTTCTCACAGTGACTCCATGCAAAATCAAATAAAGGCAGTGTACCTTTAAATTTTACAAATCTTAAAATCAAGAAGCAAAACATTCTCTGCATTCTAAATCATCAGGTGAAACTACTAGAAGATTTTTAGACATACAGATAGATCAGAATATAACTGTTAAAGAGATTGATCTATAATCTGAACCTGAAATGGGGCCCAAGAAAGGATGTGGGGCCCAGAAACTATCCTTCTGTTTATTAATTGCCTGTACCTAAATGATTAAGGTCAAAGCGAAGGAAACAAAGCAAAAATTAAGAGATCTGGAAAAAGTTCTGTCTAATTGCAGTGTACCATGTTTTTGTCTTATACTATGAAGAACAATTGTCACTTCAGACTCCTTAATAACTGACAGATACTCTTCATAATTCCATCTTAATAGTTGAATCCCTGGGTGATGCAGTTACCACACTTGACTGCTAAGTCACAAGGCTGGAGAGGTTCTCCCTCATCCAGTGTGCTGCAGAACAAAGGCGTGAAATCTACTCCTGAAAAGTCTGCCACATAAAACCCTACAGAGCACAGCTCTATTCCCACACACATCCAACATGGGTTCATCTCGAGTCATCTCCTTCCTCAGTTACCTCTGAACTGGACATTTCTTGTTCCTGTGCTCATATACTATGATAGCTTAGCCAGGCTAAAAAGACTTTCTTCTTTGACTCATCTCCTTAGATATCGTGTGCCTCAGTTTAGCACCACCGTATAGAAGAAAGGCTGGTTGGGTCTTGGGGGAAATGACTAAGTCTGAAGCATCTTGTTAGTCACAAAATACAGTTATGGCACAATGTCTTCATTTTGTAAAAGATAACCAGAGATAGTGACTGACCTCAAGGTCTTTAAATCTCAAATCTAACCTAGTAGGCCTTAATGGGGGGAGGTAGGGGAGAAACTATCACCAGGTGATTGGGTTTTCTTGTCACTAGGTATAGACCACTACTCACAGGCTGAGGGGCAGCTTTCGGTTCCGTGGACTTCACATGCAGATGAGTCATCATAGCTTGCAGGCGCTCTTTGTCTTTTGCGAGCTGGTAAAGAGAACATGTTTTGTTACTTCTTCAAATACAAACACATAATTATTTTCACATGCAAAAGAATGCATGATCCAAGTCAAACTATGACATCAAAGCACAAGACAAAATCATCTTCATTGCTGGTTTAGAAATCTATTTGGCCACTGCCAAATTCCAAGTGTGAACTGTGTCCCTCCAAAATAATTGTTATAAAGTCTAACTTCAGTGCCTGTGACTAGAGTCCCATGTGGGAATGGGCTGTCTTTTATGTAAATGAAGTAGGATTAGTATAGGGCGTATTTTTTTTAGATCTTTTTTGAGATTTAGAAAAGATTAAAGAAACAAGTGAGAGAAGTAGAAATGAGGACAGAGACTTGACAAGCCACATGAAGAATGCCCAGGAGCATTCTCACACAAGAAGACAAGGGCCTTCTCCTCGAGCCAGCAACCTGAATTCAGATGTCTAGCTTACTAAATTGGGGGGAGTAAGGGACAGCAGAATTGGGCTTATTAGACACTACTTGGGCTATTTTCTGATACAACAGCAGTAAACAGCTAAGTAATAAGAGGTGTTGAAAGAAGATTGAAATAAGGTGTTGAAATAAGACTTCCCAACAGAAAACACATTAGTCTTTATCTGGGATGTTCTAGACCAGCTGGCACCTACGAGTTCCATGTAACAGACCATTAAAAGACAAAATGTGACTCATGCCTATTAACCAACCTATTCACAAGAAAGCCAGATGATAATCAGATGGGAACTACACCTCATAAATTCATCTGTTATGGTTGTGGACAATCTCCAAGACAGATGGATACGTTTATGCAAAACTAGCTTCATCTTTCTTAACAGGTAGACACAGATTATTAAGATAGAGTTGACAAGTGATTTTGATAAGCAGAAACAAGGCTGCAAGAGTGGAGAGGGCTCCATCTTCAAATGATGGTAGAATACACTTCCCTATTTATTCACTTTATAACTGAGTACTTACTATGTGCTAGTCTCATCTTAACAAAAGTGTAAATCTCATTCCATATAAAATTATCTTCTGATAGCATAAAGGAATTTCTAACTGAAAAGAACAGACATTCAAACATGATGTTTTAGATTACTACGTCTCTCTCACACACATACACTTTCTAGAATTTAAGCTTATGTTATTTTTGATAGTTTGAAAGTTGGGCACAGAAGATAGAAAATGATTATTTGTATACAAGTAATGTGAAATATATGCACAAAAGATAAAGGTATAGATAAAAGAACAGCTATGTGGTCTAGGGAAAATGTAGTAGAGATTAAAAGGGGGAGAAGAGAGAAGGAGGGGGAAAAAGGAGAGAGGAGGGGGAAAGGAGATGAAAGGGGCAGGGGAGAGAGGAAAGGAACGAGGAAAGGAATGAAATGGAAGGAGAAAGGGAGAGAGAGAAGGAAGGAGGAGAGGAGAGAGGAGAAGGAGAGAGAGAAATGAGATGGAAGGGGAGAGGGAGAGGGAGAAAGAGGGAGGAGAGGGGAGAAGGAAAGGAGAGAGGAGGAGAGGAACGAGATAAAAGGGGAAAGGGAGAGAGAAGGAGGGAGGAGGGAAAGAGGAAAAGGAAAGGAGAGAGAGAGAAGGAGGAAAGGAGAGAGTAGGGGAGAGGAGATGAAGGAGAGGGAGAGAGAAGAGAAGGGCAGATGAGATGGAAGGGGAGTGTGAGAGAGAGAGGCAGGAAAGGAGAGAGGAGGGGGAAAATAAGATGGAAGGGGTAGGGGAGAGAGACAAGGGAGAGAAAGAGGAGGGGGATGAGATGGAAGAGGAGGGGGGGAGAGAGAGGAAAGGTGGGGAGATGAGATGCAAGGAGAGGGGGAGAGAGAGGAGGGAGGAAAGGCAGGGAGTGTGTGTGCTAGTCTGAAGTGTCTTTGGTCACTAATTTATAGATAATCTGTCAAAAAAATCCTCAGAATATTCTATACATACTTTAGAACTCAATGGACAGACATAATTCTGAAAATCTCAAATTATTCTAAAATAGAAATGAACTAAGACTCACATATTCTAACAAAATTGCTTTGTAAGGGAATACGGGGGAGATGATGAACTAGGGGAAGAATGAGAAAAGGGGCAAAAAGCAGAAGAGAAAAATTTTTGTCATAACTGGATGACTCAGTCTTCAGCCATGTCACATTTGATTTCTCCTTATTCTCTTGTAGTTCAGGGAGGAACAAATTAAAAAAAAAAAAAAAGAAAGAAAAGAGAAGCCTTTACAGCATTAGCATTTATCTTCCAAAAAACAGGAAATGAAAATGATACCATATTAGGAGCTACTTCATATTGTTCATCCTCTGTCTTAGTAAGTTACTGAACAGTCAAACTAAAAGATGCTCTGAACACATTATGTTAGAGGAATTTAGTTTTCCAAAGTAGCTCAGTTAAAATAATTAAAATGTGGAAGAGTTTTCTGCACTGGACCAATCAGTAGCATCAGGATGGATGGCGAAGAGATTGAGATTGTTCACAGCTTCAGTTTGCTCGGCTCCACAGTCAACACTCTTGGCACCAGTAGCCAGGAAATCAAAAAACGTATTGCGATGGGAAAGTCTGCGGTTAGGGACCTCTCCAAAATACTCAAGAGCAATGGTGTCTCTCTGGAGACTAAGGTGCGCCTGATACAGGCCATGATTTTTGCAATCACTTGTTATGCATCAGAGAGTTGGACAATGACTAGGGAGGATAGAAGGAGAATTGATGCCTTTGAGCTGTGGTGCTGGAGAAGAGTACTGAATGTACCATGGACTGCCAAGAAAACAAACAGATTCATCCCAGGGAGAGTGAAACCAGGCTACTCCTTGGAGGCAAGGATTCTGGGGCTTCGTCTGACATACTTTGGACATGTTGTAAGGAGAGACAGATCTTTAGAGAGGGACATCATCCTGGATAGAGTAGAGGTACAGCGCAGGAGGGGGAAACCCTCTATGAGGTGGATTGATTCAGTGACTAGGGTACTCGGGATGGGTGTATCAGAGGCAATGAGATTGGCACAGGATAGAGCACGGTTTAGGGCTGTTGAACATAGGGTCGCTATGAGTCGCAAACGATTTGATGGCACATAACAACAACAACAACATTGTTTTCTGTGTAAGTACTCTAAATTTTGAGGAGTTAAAACTAAAATACACTCAAGATCTTAATTAAAGAGAGTCTGGTTTCTAACTATTATAGGGCAGAAATAATTAAGGCATATACATCACTCTTTAGGGAGCTCTTGTGGTTTCCTGGGTAATGAGTTGTGCTGCTAAGCCAAAGGCACATGGTTAAAATCCCACCAGTTGGTTAATGAGAGAAAGATGGGCAATTTTCTCCCATGCAATTCACTGCTTCTGAAAATGCTCTGGTGTGCCAGCTATGAGTTGGTTCTGATTCCACAGCATATAACAAGAAGCCATTCTTAAAAATAAGATGTTTTCTGCCATGCTGAGCATTACCAATTAATGGAATGAGAGGTAGTATTCGTGGAAGCTTCTATATATTACAAGTGACAATTTTAATTTGGGAGTAAACACTATTGCTGTAGCAATTATAATGAAGGGAAATCCAAACGTCCAGTATTTAAAGGAGCTCTCTCCTCCACATTTTATCCAAAGGCAGACCTTTCACTCCTCAAAGGTGAGAGGGTGAAACACAATGTGAATGGATGAATCCATGAAATAAAATTTGGACAAATGAAACACAATGTTTACATTTTATATGCAAACTAATATAATAGATTTTTTTTAAAAAAGCTAATAATACTATGTTGCAAACACACACTGAAAACTTGTATCCACAGTCATGTCCATAAAACTAGAGGGAATTACCAGTTTTGTATTTTTCTGAGACACTATTTAGATTTATTTGTCCATTTTCAAAGTTACCCCAGTTCCCTGTTTTGCCTCAAATTCAATTAAGTCACCATGAAAGGATGTAAGGTGATAGAAAATGGGAAGGAAAAGAAAGTAAATTTTTATTTGGTTAGTATAGCAAATTAAAGTGCACTAGAATCTGAGAAAGAAAAAAAGGTGCAGTCATACCTGTGGATGTTTTGAGATGTTTCACGTATACTTCTAGAGAAACTATTTAAAGATAAACCCCACCTAATGTATTTTTCATGTTGTGTTTTTTTTTTTTTATTTTTCATGTTTTTAAAGGCAAAAAAAGGCAAGTATCAACAGAACCGTATCATCTCTTTTTTTTTGGGGGGGGGGGGCTGTCTTATAGTTATAATCATCATAGGTTTTTAGAAAAGCTTTCCAGTTCTTTATTACTTTTTATGCCATCATTCCATGAGCTCACAGTTCCCATCAATTATCAAGGCATCCTTTTATTATAATATTATGGGAATCCAACATTTAATACTAACAAGTATATTGCAGCATTTCCTCATAAACTCTGAATCCCATGAAAAGCAACAAAAAGGAGAATGAGACAATCATTACAAATGTCAACTGAAAGTTTGGTCGGCAGTTCACAAAGAGGATTTTATGTTGTGACAGAATTACTCTCTATTAAGCTTTCCTGGTGGGTATGGAATGAGGATGTGCCATAAAAAGGACAGCAAGGGGAGGCCCTGTGGGGGTGAGCTACAAGGACAGGAAGCTGCTGTTTGTGTTCATTAGTGAGTCTGTGCTTCAGTTCTGTACAATGATGAGAGTGGAAATATTTAAGGATATGGGCACTAGAAAACAGACTGTTTTGCTGTTTGATGCCATCAATTAGATTCTGACTCATTACCAGGCAGTTCTGGTGGCCTAGCAGGTAAGGAGTTAAAGCGCCAATGAAAAGGCCAGCGAGTTGAATCCACCAGCTGCTTTGTGGGAGAGAGATGGGCAGTCTCCTCTCATGTTATTTACAGCCTCTGAAAACCCACTGGAGGGTCAATTCTGCATTGGTCTCAACTCCATGTCAATGAGTTACTGAGCCCCACTGTGATAAAAGAGTGACTGCTATCTTAGGCAAGCAGACTGCCAAGCTCTTCTTCCTTGGTTTGAATTGCCAATGTTTCTT